AAAAGAACTTTTTTGACTTCATTGAATATTGGGGATAATAAATTTGGTCCTGAAGGAGGAAAAGTATTAGCAGATGCTTTCAGAGAAAATACCACATTAACTTTTTTGAACCTTAGATGGAATAAACTTGGTCCTGAAGGAGAAAAATCATTGGCAGAGGCACTCTGCAAAAACAATACCCTAACTTCTTAAACATTATGAATAATCAACTTGGCTATAAAGGTGTAGAAGCGCTTGCAAAGGCCCTTTACAAAAACACTAGGCTGACTTCTTTAGATATTAGATTCAATGGACTTAAGGATGAAGAAAAAAAATCATTAGCAAAAGCATTAACAAAATCTTTACTTATAAATATTTCTTTTTGAACATTTTTAAGAATAGTAAAGACTTATAATTTTAATGTTACTTTAATTTTCAGTTGATTTTCAGTTTTGTAAGTTATAAATTACAAATTATCTGATGTTATGATTTAAAAATATTAAAATCTTTGTCAAGATATGTCAATTTATTAAGTTACTTTTAGCAAAATAATTAAATTTATCTAAAATTGAAGATAGTGTTTTAAATTAATAGTTTTCTTTTCCTAATTATTACAAAGCCTTTTACATACTAAATTAATAAAAAATATTTATATACAGTCAGACCTCTCTAAGTGCACGCATTTGGGACCACACTTTAACGACGTGCATTTGGAGAATGATAAGAAAAAGTGCATTTATAGAAGTCAAGTATATATTTGAGTCAGAATCTGTGCACTTAGAGAGGGTGCACTTAGGGAGGCCTGACTGTATTTGTCGTACCTCAGATGCATTGTAAGAATGTAGGTAAAATTAGCCGATCAATTAATGCTGGCCAAGCAGTCAATGTCTGAGATGCCTCAATTGTTATCTGGGGCATATGATGAACTATCATGTGGCTAGAATTTTGGGATGGTGTTACGACAAGGAAGAGACTTTCTTATATCACTGCCAATTCAACTCTGGTCGTAAGCATTTAAAGTAAGAAACCAATTATTTATTATTGCGTACAAGACACTAAAAGTACAAAGAATTATGAGCGATACAAGTATCTTTCTAACAAGTGTACCTGGTACAGTAAAATATCCCTTATTCCAAAAAACTAAAGAACTCAAAAACTAAAGGACTCAAAAACTAAAGAAGTATTCATACTGCTATCCCTATTTATATACATATTATTAGACTTAAATTAGCTATACAGTCATACTCCCATACAATCACACAGTTGGGCACATAGTAAATTTTTTTCAAAAAGTGCTTATATAGGAGTTGTGCTTATATGGAGATCTTTTTCTTATAAATTAATTCATAGTTTGGCATAAACATAAATGTGATTACATATGGTGTGATTATATGGGAGGTGACTATATGGAGGGATGACTGTACACTATTACGTAAATATAGTATAATAACAATATATAAGTTTAATTAAAGTAACCCTGTGACTACACTAAACTATAAGGTTACAAAAAAAACTTATTTATAAATGTCACGTTATTTTCGTAACAATGGCATTTTTATAATACAATCCTCTTAAATCCTCTCGGTCACTTAACGGAATTGGCAAGAATTTTACTCTAATATAAGTACCTTACTCGTTGGCACATATTAGAGTATTTTGGTTGCATCGAACTTTAGAGATAATTCGAGGTTAGCATAGTATAAATATGGTACATTCTAGTTTTTTAATTCGCACATTCGAGATAAAAGATTTTGTCAAATCAATTGTTGGTATGAAACATTTTAATTACAGTACATAAAAGATATAATATAAAATTTACAAATAAATGTTGTGAGTCATCGTATTTTAACAATTTCTAAACAAAAAAAATGCATTGATAAAGAGTAGAATGAATATAGCTATCAAATCAGGAATGAAAATCCAAATACAAATTTGAACTATATTATCAAGTATACAATCATTGAGGAAAACACAGAAAAAAAAAGTTGTTCTGCAGTATACCATTAGTTAGCAATAAATACCAGAGTTCTATGGGATAGTGATAAGATCCTTGAGAAACGATGTCCATCTGAAATTCCGAAGAGTAATGACTTCTATGAGTGTTGACAAAATGATTGATGTCTTGTACATTTTGATAAAGGGATGAATTGTATGCGTCATAATCATTTAATAGTGCACCATCATGATTATTAACGGCACGATGTTCATCGTCTTGATTTATAACGTTCTTGTTGTCTAATCCTTTAGGCCCACGTTTTTTACCAGATTTAATAAAAATGCATTGAAGATTTTGTTTTGCACAATTTTTACAAGTGTTTACATCATAAGAACATCGAACACGTTTATTTCGACAATTAATGCACGCAGTAGTTGCATGAGTACATTTTGGTTTATCTTTCATTGTGAGCTTAAGATACTTATGTTTGCAATAAAAAAAAAATGGAAGCAATTCAGTGCAAAAGATCAAAAGACAGGAGAGCTTTAATAAATTCGACATTTATAAGTCATTCAATCAATATATTTTATAGTGTCAGGTGCAATAAAAGATTTTTAATTTATGATATGATCTTATGTTTGTTTACATGATTTGCGGTTACCAAGCGGATGTAACTGGAATAAAGTATAAGAGAAAATGCAATAGCATGCAAAATAACTTACGAAGTGACATGCGAAATGACATGCAGATTAAAAAAAAAGAATAGCGGATGTAACGCAAAACTAAACGTCGGATGTAACAATTGACAAGAAAATGTCGGATGTAATGGGCGGCAATGTCGGATGTAACAATGACGAGTAAGAATAATAAAATGTATGACGTCTGTGTTACACGAAATTGACAACGAAATTGTAGTTAGTGTGTAACATCCGCAATTACGAATGTAAATGTGTAACATTCACTAATTTAGTATGATGGCGGATGTAAAAGATTTAGCTACACCAATAAGAATATCGGATATAAACATGAAGCATACGTCACTGGGATAGTAATGTCGGATGTAAAACGTGCAGCATCCGTAATTGTGATAAGAATAGTTGGCGTAAACGTGACACCCGCATAGCAATAAGAATAACGGATGTAAACGTTAGCATACTTTATATAGCGATAAGATGGCGTATGCTAACGTGTAGTGGCGGCCATGACAATAGTAATGACAGATTAAAACGTGTAGTACCCATCATAACAATAAGATGTCAACGTGTAAATTATAAACATGGCAGTAGGCATGCTGTAAATATAGAAGCGGAATCTTGCGATTAATGAATATTTATTAAAAGACATTTATTACAAATTTAACAATAAACCTTATTCATAATCCAGTTTTACCACCGATTTTCGATTTAGCATAAATAATATTACACGTTTGAGTGGCGATAATATTAGTTTACATTATAAATTTTTACCTTTTTACCTTTTTATAGTTAGCCACACATGACAACTGACGAGGTTTTACGGTTATACAATATAGAGATCTTGACCAATAAGCAGGTACGATAATGTTTGCGGTAGCGGGAAGAGTAAACTACAAAACGTTTACGAGGTGAGAATCATCCGCTCATAGTGCTAATATATATGATGCCTTTTTCCGTGTGTCTTATTCTTTCAGTTGCAATTTTCCTGGCCGTTTTCCATTTCCCCAGAATTTCGCAACCAGTTCTTTTTTTTTTTGTACTCGCAATTGTACAAACTGCGGTTACTTAATTATCTTATACTTTCTGCATTTCATTTAAAATAATAAATAAACTATGTCAGGAAAGCGTACGAAGGAAGCCTGCACTTTGTGTAGAAAACAAAAGAAAAAGTGCAATGGCTTGAAACCCTGCCAAAGGTGCGTTATTAAGAAAAGATGTTGCACTTACCAATCTGAGTTAAACGGTAATTATCAAATTTGGTACTAAAGTTTCATTAACAAAATCAATGTTAATAAATGCTAATAATACAGTATATAATATCTTTATGAAATCTAGGTCAGGCACCATTAACTGGTTTTGATGCACAACCTTCGTACGATTATCCAAATTATTATATTTTTCCACAAGGTAAATATGGTAAAGCCAGTTCTCGATGACGTAGCATAAATCACATACCCTATATTTTTAATAAATACTTTAACCTCCTTAAAATATCAGATGGAAATTCCGTGTATCAACCGCTTCCTTCTATTTTTGGAACCAAGCGTTGATTTTATCTTTATAATCTTTTTTGAATGAAAACTTGTCTAAAAAGAGAAAAAGCCTTTTCCAATATATGCTATATGTTTTTAATATAAGATATATGATAGAAAATTTTAGTTTTTATGCTTGTTCTATGTTTTATTTTATACATTTATGAAATAAATGTTTTTGGCTGTTCTGCCTTATGCTTTTATATTCATATTTCCTAAAAAGAAATTTCATTTGCATTCACTCGAAGTAAAATTACCCGACGATCATAGTAGCATTCGCATAACTAAAAATGATGGTTCATTGATAATGTATGTACCATGGAGGTTACTTTGGTTACTACGAGATAAGAATCGGGCTCAATAAATAGTTATTGATAAACCAGATTTTCATTGTTTAACGGCTAATATTCATGAATCTACACTAAAACAAATTCTTAAAATTCATCTTATAATGTATAATTAAAGCAGCGAGAACTGTCTAACTTTATTAAAGGCATGAAAAACCAATGTTTTTATGCACATTGGATGCTATGATAAAACTATGCTAAATCTACCATTCATAGACATTTCTCCCATCATCAATAAAGCTCTACAGATATTCCACTCATTTTTAGTAATATGAAGCTCAAATTTTAGTACACTCTTCCCGAAATTAGTAACATAATATGGCTAAGTCATTAGACAAAAAAAATGAAATATTAATTGATCATCAAGTCACACCTATATATTACCAGCGTAACAGAATGTCAATAATTACCAGAACTTAGTGGAAAGGGTAGAGTGCAGTCAGTTTTCTTTTAACCGAATCTGGATAAACTGAAAATTACAATTTTATTATACAGTTCGATTTAAATTAGAGATTTGGTAGAACTATCATGACTTGTGTGCAGTAATTGGTTATGGCATAAGTTATAACACTCTCTATTACATTTCTGATTTAGGTACTAAAATAACTTTTTAAACTTTTTTTCCTTCTCTTAATAAGCCCTAAAAGTTTGACATAAAGAAAGTTGACTGTACGTACGTGATTACTGTATGTCTGTACCTATTGTTACGAGTTGTTTGCACGTACGTTAGGCAGTGTGATGCTGACGTTGAAACTCAAAACTTTCCAAAGGATTACATTTTATAAAGATATAAAAACTTATAAAAAATCTAATTGTTTCGTTAATAAAATAGAGGTATGACCCGTGGGTCGATAGCATTGTGGTTGCGCTCCCGGGTTCTAATCGCAAGGTCGCCGGTTCGAGTTATACTGGAGAACAAAAAACCGTGCCATGACCACGCTTGAATATCAGCCAAAAGGGGGATGCCTCAAGATAAATATAAATAAAGATACCACCGGTGAATCTCCTGTCGAAAAACTAGGAAACTCCAGAAAAAAGACAGTTCGGTAAAATCCCCGGCTGTAATCAGTGTCTATGACCCAGGTAGATAAAAAAAAATTGTCGGTGATGTATTCTACAAGCCACTCGGACTATTTTTTCTGTATTCGGGCTATTAATTCTATACTTATAATTCGGATTCCAAAAAATTTTTATAAACAATTCATAAGAATTTTTTTTAGATCCCGAATGCAAAAATATAGACCGACAATTTTTTTTAACATGACTAATATACTCTACGTATGACCAGTTACGTATGACCAGTTACGTATGACCTATTTGCCAATTATGGGTTATGACCTTACTATTATGACTTATAAAATTTTATGACCGCCTTAGTCATACGTATAAAGTTGGATATGACCTAAAATGACCAACACTGGTTGTAATTGGATCATCCTGTAAAATCCGGTTGTAAAACTGGCGAAATTCCAGTTGTTAGTGATTGGGATCGACCAAAATAGTTAATGTATAAAAAGTATACCTTGCTAGGAAAATCACCCCTTCAACATTTTCCGATCGGGTTAATTCGGACAAATTCAAACCAATATACCGGTATTTATTTGCATGTAAATCATTTTTGTCATTATTGATTCAAATGTTCATTCGATAAGCTATTGAATCAATAAGGGGCAAAAAATGATTTACATGTAAATCAGAAGCGTTATGTTGGTTTAAAATGTGAATTAGCCAACAGGAGCGACCGTCATCGTTACACAAATTGCAGATCACTTCCGAGATCCTCCCACCCAATCAAAATTACGAATTT